TATGTTATGTAATATAAGTATGCAAGCAGGTTGGGTGTGCTTTGAGCGCGACGGAATCCTAATTGAGAAGATAGAAGGCTGTTGGATTCAAGGTACCACATTAGGCGTAGACTGACCATTCTTTCTAGCAGTTGCACACATAGCTAGTCAGAGCAATGGTCCAGCAGTCTTGAGGGAGGGAGGTAGTCTAAGTATTGTTGAAGATTCTCAGTAGTAAGGATAAGGTGGATGGAAGATATCGTAGCATACGGTAATGTGTGCCGTCCGGGCCTATGTGCATTTACTGTAAAAAAAAAAGTGTAGAAGTAACTGTGGCGACGTAACTTTACCAGCTGTTTTTATTAGAGATTCGGATTATGCAGCAAAGTTGAGCTAATATTCTTTTAAAATTGATAAGTGCTGATGGTTATTATGCTTATATCAAATGCGTACAGTAAATTAGTTTAATACGTAGTTGTTCCACATATGTCTAAAGAATGGCTATTCATTAATGAACTACAGTCAGCTGGAAGCAGGCCTAAATGAAGAAGTCGTGTTCGGACCTTGCTCCGGGGGACTGGACCTTCGCAGCTATAAATAAATGTTCATCATTATTGTTATTGTTGATGTTGCTGTTATTGTCATCACTATCATCATATTACTTTAATTATTACTGTTATTTCTTATTAGTGTTGTTTATCATTATTATTGTCTTTCTTCTTATTGTATCAGTTTTTTTCTCAACTCTGTTGTAGCATTATCATCATTATTATTAATGAATCTTAAAAAGCACGATAGTATTAAAAGAAGGTATAGTATCGGAAAGAGTAGAAAGGGGTGTTATTATTTTAAGTGTTTTCATAGCTATTGTTGTTGAAGTTACGATCGCCACAGAGACTTATAAGAAACAATGCTAATCAGTCTTGTAGTATCATCATCTTTATCAATATCATCATGAAAAATTTTCATTGTCATTGGTAAAGTCCATTTCTTTGTCATTATATGCTGTTTTCATATGATTTCCACAGTCAGATATGAATGGCAATGTTGTTCTCAGGGACGGTAGCGTTACAAGTTATTTATGGATGGGACGCCTATAATATATATACAATTTTGTGGTGGCTGTTATTTTTCAGGATATATACATGAGAAAGTGAAAATTTTATTCGTGAATTAAACAATTACAAAATTATAAACGAGGTACTAAAAACAACTATAAGAGGTACTAAAAACAACTATAAAATGTAACAGTAAAAACAAAATGGTTCCTCTGAGCACAAAAAACACTTACAGCATGCAACTTTGAAGCAAAATACCTATTGGTAAATAAATTTTTAAAAATGATGTAAAATATATAAAATAAACACTAATCCAAATGGTACCCATACATCATGCCAGGATCTGAAAAGGAAAAAGAGAAGGTATTGAAATCAAATACTTTCTTCGAAGAGGGTTTTCTTTGCCAAAGTTACTCTAGAGTATAAGCTTACGTCCATAAATAGCAAAATAAAAAAGGTGGCAACTGCAGAAGCAACAACAACAACGCTCTTTCGGTGCTTAAAAACGGCGATCGGGGGCTCATGCACAGTCAAGGGCAGCAAAGGAGTCTTGTCTGAAAGGAAAATATTTTTCGATTGTCAAAATTAATTATAACTGGAGATAAACAAACAAGGCATGAGAAAAGTATGCAGACATAGGATAGTAGTGGGATACGCACACATACACATAACATGAGACAACATTAAGAGAGAGAGAGAGAGAGAGAGAGAGAGAGAGAGAGAGTAGAACAGAGACAGAGACAGAGACAGAGACAGAGACAGAGACATAGACAGAGACAAGAACAGATAGAGATACAGAGAGAGACAGAGACAGAGAACTAGAGAACAGAGAGTACAGAGACAGATAAAGAGAGACAGAGAAAGAGAGACAGATAAACATATACATACACACATATATATGTATAAACACAAACACACGCACACGCACATGCACACGCACACGCACACACACATAGATATACATACACACATACACACACATACACATACATACACATACACACACACACACACACACACACAGACATATACAGACACACACACACACACACAGACAGAGACAGACACACACACACACACACACACACACACACACACACACACACACACACACACACACACACACACACACACACAGATACAGACACACACAGACACACAAACACAGAGAGAGACAGAGACAGAGAGAGACAGGGAGAGAGAGAGAGAGAGAGAGAGAGAGAGAGAGAGAGAGAGAGAGAGAGAAAGACACACACACACACACACACACAACACAACAAAGAGAGAGAG